CAAATCACCAACTGTCAGAGTAGTCATTAAAGACAGATTCCAAAGAAGTCAGAAGCCAGAGAGGCAGAGGTCCGAGGTGTAGGTCAGGAGCAGAGTCGTACGAGCCGAGGACAGGAGCCGAGAAGTCAAGACGAGGAGCAGGAACTGGCACACGGGTGGTGAGGTGCAGAGCTTCGTCCAAAATGACTAGTCGGCACAACTAGTTGGCGTGAGTGCAAGAGCTAAATAGCCCGTCAGGCTGTTGGCAATTAGCGCGCCCTGATTGTGTCCCGACCAATGTTCCCTCTAAGCTGTGGAGTCTTGTGAGCAAAAGTTCTCCTTTGTGAGTTGCTGGCATTAAAGTTCTGTGTCAGTGATTTGGCTGCTGCATAATTTAGTTAGCTCCGAAGCCCTCCTCCCTGAGCTAAGACAAAAATGTGTGAGCCGGAGGCTAAAAAACTGTGAGCTAGCTCACACTAACTCAGCTTAGAGGGAACACTGGTCCTGACTCTCCCTAGTACTCAGGGCTAAAAGAACGCCTACCACGCATGCGTCCATCCTGCCGCCAGGATGCCATGTCCCGTCACCGTTGTTCCCGCAGACGGGATACCGGTGGGGCCGAGTCAGGGGGCGTGTTGCTCCGGCGTGAGTCTGCTTCAGCTGCTGCTGGAGCAGTTCCCGTGGCTTCAGGTGCGGGGTTGTCAGGAGCCGGGAGCTCATCCCCAGCAGTACAGAGCCAGTTTGGTGTAGTGGTTAAGTGTGCGGACTCCAATCTGAGAGAACCGGGTTTGATTCCCCACTCCTCCACTTGCACCTGCTGATGTGACCTTGGGTCAGTCACAAGCTCTGGCACAGCTGTCCTTGAAAAAGAGCAGTTTGTGTCAGTTCTCTCAGCCCCACCCACCTCACAGGGTGTCTGTTGTGGGGAGGGGAAGGGAAAGGAGTTTGTAAGCCGCTCTGAGACTCCAAGTGAAGGGCGGGGTATAAATTCCTCCTCCTCCTCCTCCTCCTCCTCCTCCTCCTC